TTTATAAAAACATGTGTGCAGTTCACACGCGGTAGAAGTGAAACCTTCAGAAAACTAAACTTCGAGAGAATGAGACGGATGCACAGTATCAGCAGAAGGATAATTGTAGGGCTTTATAATTAAAATATAAATAAATTTATAAGAACCAACTGTCAAAGCTGAAGACCGAGTGTGGCTGCATCGTTTCCGGGACACCTGAGATTTTGAGTGAGCTGCTGTACGCGTCATCGTTGGAGCCACACGCAAGTGTGAGTAACGATCCAAGAGCGAGTCTTATCTGATACTATCCCGGACGTCAGTCTGAGCGAGATTAGAATGGCTCTCCAGCACCTAAAAACGGCAAGTCCCCGGGCGAGGATGGAAGCTCATTAATTCCGTCCTCCATGGTGGCACTACTCCGGAGGCGTGGAGCAGAAAAACGGTGGTCTTGTTCTTCAAGAAAGGCGACAACGCTCTCTTGAAGAACTACAGACCGATTTCCCTTCTGAGCCGCGTCTACGTGCTATTTTCGAGAGTCATTACGAATCGTCTCGCGCGCAAACTTGACGACTTCCAGCCTCCCGAACAAGCCAGTTTCCGAAAGGGCTTTAGCACCATAGACCACATACATACCCTTCGGCAAATTGTACAGAAGTCCGAAGAGTACAATTTGCCACTATGTCTGGCGTATGTGGACTATGAGAAAGCCTTTGACTCCGTCGAAATTTGGGCGGTGCTGCAGTCCCTTCAGCGGTGCCAAGTTGACTGTTGGTATATCAAAGTGCTGAAGTGTTTGTACAGTAGAGCTACGATGGCTATCCGAGTACAGAATCAGAGTACGAAACCTATCAAACTGCAGAGAGGTGTAAGACAGGGTGACGTTATATCCCAGAAACTCATCACCGTTGCATTGGAAGACGTTTTCAAGCTACTGGATTGGAAAGGATGCGGTATTAACATCAATGGCGAGAACATCACTCACCATAGATTTGCCGACGATATAGTCCTTATAGCAGAATCGCTGGAGGACCTAAGCACTATGCTCAATGACCTCAATAGTGTCTCCCAACGGATAGGTCTTAAGATGAACATGGACAAAACAAAAATCATGTTTAATGTCCATGTCACACCTATGCCGGTAGTTGTTGGGAGCACTAAGCTCGAAGTTGTTGACGAGTATGTTTACCTGGGACAAATAGTCCGACTAGGTAAGTCCAACTTCAACCGAGAGGTCAATCGACGGATTGAACTCGGCTGGACAGCGTTCGGGAAACTACGACACATCTTCTCGTTAGACATACCAGACATACCTCAAAACCTGAAAACGAAATTGTACAACCAGTGCGTGTTGCCAGTGATGAGTTACGGATCTGAGACGTGGTCCTTCACTGCTGGCCGTATGAGAAAGCTCAAGGTTGCTCAGCGAGCTATTGAGAGGGCTATGCTCGGGGTTTCTTATCGTGATAAACTCAGAAATGAGGATATCCGCAGTAGAACCAGAGTAACCGACATAGCCCAACGGATTAGTAAGCTGAAGTGGCAGTGACGGCCATATAGATTGAAGAATCGACAACCGATGGGGAAGAAAGGTTCTCGAGTGGCAGCCTCGTACCGGTAGGCGAAGTGTAGGGCGACCCCCCACTAGATGGAGTGACGACCTGGTAAGATATGCAGGAAGTCGATAGATGCAGGTGGCTCTGGACCGTGCTTTGTGGCATTCCTTGGGGGAGGCCTATGTTCAGCAGTGGACTTATGAAATGCTGTAATGATGATGATGTTGATGACTGTATTCTATCTCATTCTCTCGCAGGCTAAATCCTATTAGCTATGTCTACAGCAGTGCGCTTTCCTGTTCATCTTGCGTCTTCCTCTTACGTAGCTATAAATCTCTTTATACTCTTATTGTGTTGTTCCGTTTTTTCAAATAATCTTCCATCCAGATTCTCCTTTTCTTGCGTTTTTTCCTGCACTTAACAAAAAATACGCCGCACAGATTTTTTTTATAGGATAAGGGTGACAAACGAGCACACAGTCCACCTGATGGTAAGTGGTTGCCGCGGCCCATAGACATCTACATCTATCCTCTATTACAAATCAAAAAGCAGATGCGTTGTCACCCGTGAGGACTAAAATGGAATGCCTCATTTCTAGTAAAAAGGGCCTCCGGCCACCTGCACTCAACAAGCGAAACGCAGAGGTAAACTTCTACTTCACGCTGGTATTCTGTGAGGTCGTGGTACCACCCCGGTTCGAGGCGGCCCATCCGTGCGACAGCAAAAGCTGCCGCGAGGCTCTACCACTGTTAAGCTAGCTACTATCTCTAACCAAACCTTACCGAGGAGCGAGAGGAGTTGCATGCGACAAGCGCACGGGTATAGACGATAAGTTGCATGCGTCTTATGGCACAGCGCTTGACGCAAGACGAACTGAAGCTTGAAATGCAAAATGAACATGAAAGCGAAGTTGAAAGCACACTGGTGTAGACATAGCTATATATATAGATATATTTGTTTGTCTCTACATATTTAGTGTCGCTTTTTTGTTTTATCGAATTTCAATTCACAAAGAGCCTAAATAAGTTTTCACTTAAAAAAAAGTATCAGTCTGTTTATGTAAATTCACGGCTCGACACAGGCCTCCTCTCAAAACTTACAGGATTTTGGAGGCGATAGTAAACTGCGTTACCCTAAAGAATGTTGGCGGTCTAAATAAGACCTTTTTATTTCTTAGACATACAGGTTTCCTCACGATTATGAAGTTGAAGGAAGACTTCACCGCTTGGTACATTTCATCGTTGACGCCGCAAAGGGGCATATCTCAAGTTTTCAAAAAATTACAGGAGGGCAAGAAAACTAACTTTTTTTATTAGCCGATTCCTAGCTTTTTTTCATCAGAAAATTAATATTATGTAGTTAGTTGTTAGTTAGTTAGTTCCATGATTTATAATACATTAAATTTCCTGATGAAAAAAGCTTGTTATCAGGGAATAATAAATGTATTTTTTCGCTCCTGTAATTTTTTTGAAAAATTGAGATACGACACTTTGCGGCGTCAACGACGATTTGTACTAAACAGAGGAAATACCGTTGGTCTTTTCTCCATACAAACGCTCTCGCCTGTTTTCTTTCTTGTTTATGATCTTATAGCAATGAGTTTTAACACTGAACACAACCTCTTCTATGTCCCTATGTTTTCCTTTTTGATGATACATTATCTTAATAAGCTCTAGATTCCTTAGAAAATGTTCAAAATTGCCTATTTAGACCGCTGTCAACAAATGCCTAATGTTCGAATTTGATAACTAATACTGAAAATTCTTTTTCAGTTTATGAAATATCTTTTAAATTGGTTCAATATTGAAGGAGCAAATGGTAGAGAGCTAAACCTAGAATTACGCCTTTTTACTTAGGCTATTCAGTCGGAGTCATTATCAGACGCCGAGCGCTCGCCACGACAGCGACAGAATATGATAAAATAGAATTATTTTATTCAATATAGATTACAGTAATACTTATTGAAAGTATTTTTTTTTACTTTTTTTTATAGGATCGGGTGACAAACGAGCACATAGTCCACCTGATGGTAAGTGGTTACTGTGACCCATATACATCTACATCTATCCTCAATAAAGACTCAAGATGCAGATGCGTTGTCACCCGTGAGGACTAAGATGGAATGCCTCTTTGCCAGTAAAAAGGGTCTGCGGTTCTCTACACTCACCATACGAAACACAGCAGCGTTAAGCTGCTATTTTACGCTGGTTTTCTGTGAGAGCGTGGTCCTTCCCCGGTCGAGCCGACCCATTCGTGCTACAACCATAATATAGCTGCAGCATGGCTCTACCACGTAGAAAACTTTTACCACCGGTTCGCAAAAAACCTCTGTCCTGTTAAGAACCAGCAAGAAACCCAGCGGGACTTTTTTTTAAAAAGCTAATCTTTATATATAAAAATTACGTGTCACATTGTTTGCCCGCGATGAACCCCTAAACTACTGAACTTATTTCAATGAAATTTTTTCAGTTTGTGCTGTTTGGTCTAAATTGAGAGATAGGATAGTTTTTATCCTGATAAGTGACACTCAATATTTTTTATTAAAAATTTAAGGATTTTTATATGAAGGGTCGTCGGAAAGGGCAGAACAACGTCTGCATGATCAGCTAGTTTACAATATAATATTTTGATAAATAAAAGCAGCCAGCGTTCTTGGCACGATACCGTGGGACTGTATGATAATTAAGTAACTAGTTTTAGTTTTTTTTATTATAGTTTTTGATAGTTTATTCAAATACCTTATTTTCAAATACCTTATTTTCACATGTCTATCAGCCCGCTTTTCCTCTTAATTCTTTCTTTCCCTTTTTTGAGTAGAGGAACGTAATTTTGAAATGATAGTAGATTTAAAATACGTTAACGTTCAACAATGAAGGGTGACAACGCACCTGCGTTTTGTTTCTTAATCGATGATAGATGTAGTTTTTTTTTGGGCCTAGCATCCACTTACCATCAGGTGGACTCATAAGTCACCCTTAGCCTATAAAAAAATCTTCTCATCAATACCAAGTAGATTGAAGTTGATAAGGACAATACAAGTTATTACTTAGGGACCTTCAAGAAAACAGTCTAATCTTTTTTAAAAGTCCGGTAACGTATCTGCATTTTCCCTGGTGTTGCAGTTGTTCATTGGCGGCGGTAGTCACTTACTATCAGGTGAGCCGCATCTATATACCCTATCTTATATATAGAAAAACGATTAAAACATTTTTTTAAAGTAAACATATGTATATATTTATGCGTAATGTTTATAATATATATCTTAGTATGTAGTTATGGTTATTATTATAAATATATTATGTCAGACATAGATATTTTTAATGTAGCTGTTTGCACTGTGCACCCATAATATCTTCTCTGCTTAGTCTGGAGGTAGACTGATAGAGAATACCTTGTTGCATTAAGTCTGTCTTTTGTGTACTTAGCGTGAAAATAAAGCATAAATAAAAAAATAATAAAAACACTCACCCTATGCGAGGCGGCGACTTGGGCGAGGCCGAGGGCGGACGGCCTCTCGTCGCCGGACTCATCGCCGGAGCGTTCACCAGTGAACACCGAGTCGTGCGACACCGACAGCCCGCTGCCGTACGCACCCTCTCTGCGAACACAACTATTACTTAAAGTTAAAGTTAAGTTACATTTAAGTTGAAGTTAATGTTAAGTTAAAGATAAGTTAAGTTAAAGTTACAGCCCATATACGTCCCACTGCTGGCTACAAGCCTCCTCTAATTTCTGAGACGGTTTTAGGGCAAAGGAATTTTCGCCGCGCTGCTTTAATGCGTGTTGGCGAATTTCACGTCTTCGAATTTTTTTTTCTTATTTCTCAGACCTGCAGGTTTCCTCACGATGTTTTCCTTCGCCGCTGAGCAAGTGGTAAATCAGCACTTAATATAGCAATAAAATTTTATATTGGTGCCGGCAGAGATCGAACCCGGGTTACCCGGGTTACCCGTACTGTGAAATTTACAGCAAGCGCTCACCCTATCTGAACTATCACGGCTCTCATTCATCCATCCATTACAGCCTATAAAAGTCCACTACTGAACTTTAGATTGCCTCATAGCGGAATATTTGCCATAGTTGCCAAGCTTGGCAAGCGGGGTGGAAACGCATTTTTCTACCTATCCTGTTTAATTTTCCCTCTCTCGCCTTTTACGACACCCACGGGATGAAATGAGGTAGTGGATATTACAGCGCCACAGCGCCATTACACAGTTGCTTCAAAAGTAATTGCAGTTTCGAATAAATTGAAAGATAATATAGCTAATAAATAAAAAAATACTATATATTCTTTCATCGCATTGCATTATTCGATTAAAAAGCAAAATTATTACACTACTTAAAATCTCTACATAGTATTAAACAAAGTCGCTTCCCGCCGTCTGTACACTTAGATCTTTTAAACTACGCAATGCATTTTAATTTATTTTTCATCAATAGATAGAATGTAATAAATTTTAACAGTGGTAGAGCCACGCGGCAGCTTTTGCTGTCGCACGGATGGGCCGGCTCGACCCGGGGTAGTACCACGACCCCACAGAAAACCAGCGTGAAGTAGAGGTTTACCTCTGCGTTTCGCTTGGTGAGTGCATGTGGCCGGTGGCCCTTTTTACTGGAAATGAGGCATTCCATCTTAGTCCTCACGGGTGACAACGCATCTACATTTTGATTTGTAACAGAGGATAGATGTAGATGTCTATGGGCCGCAGCAACGCCATGTGTATGTGATTGAACTACTCTTAAACGGTTGGACCGATTTTGATGAAATTTTGTGTGTGATTAAGTTGATTAGCGAATGGTTTATATTCACAATTGGTACCGGTAGGTGGCGTTGCTGTCGAGATCCAGAAATCAACCATACAAAACCGTGGCTAATCGCTAGTTATACTTAAAATATAATTAGTTTTTTTTGGTCATGATCCCATGGTCATGATTCAATTTCCTACTAACCTATTTTTGTTGTAACTTTGTCACTCTTCCCTCATTCATTCGCTCTACATAACCAAACCATAGAAGCATTACTTTTTTAATCCCGGTCACAACATTTTGCAAGTAATTTCTGACCCTGTCATTCAGAGTCATCGCTAGCATACATTGACCGTGTATCTACAGCTTTCTTCACACGTGGTATAGCCATGTTGCAGCTATATTAGTAGTATAGTTGTAGCACGAATGGGTTGGCTCGACCGGGGAAGGACCACGCTCTAACAGAATACCAGCGTGAAATAGCAGCTTAATGCTGCTGTATTTCGTATGGTGAGTGTACGAGAACCGGAGACACTTTTTACTGGAAAAGAGGCATTACATCTTAGTCCTCATGGGTGATAACGCATCTGCATTTTGATTCACAAACGAGGATAAATGTAGATGTCTATGGGCCACAGCAACCACTTACCATCAGGTGGACTGTGTGCTCGTTTGTCACCCTATCCTTTAAAAAAAAAGCATTTATACTGATATAGTGCTTATTCTGCCAAACCCATTTTTTTCTACCATACTTTAAGGTAGCGACTAACACAGTATTGTGAATTGCCACACGTGCCTTTTTGATAAATTCTGATTTCGCACTATAGAGGGAAGAGCCCTATTTACTCTATATCCTTGTCTTTGCATGTGTACCATCCCTGCTAAACACACATCGTAAATACACAAACTGATCCACTTGCTCAACCTACTCCTCTACTATTCTTATTTCACATATTGTTTTAATTTCTTCTCTTTCAAAAACCATCACTTTCGAACTTTTCGTCTTACTTGCATTGACTTTCATTCCCCTTTCTTTTAATGACCTATTCATTAATGTAAGTAAATGAAGTATAATATATAATATGACTTGATCATCGGCGTACAAAAGGCATTTGACTTTTTTAATACATTCTGACTTCTCAACATAGATTTTTTTACTTATACCATACCTAATTAATATATTATATACCAATGAATTATAAATTCAACAGCTGAAATTTCCCATGCTACATGAAAAGGTCACTTTCGTAAAAGACAAAAGAAACCACTTCATATTTTTTTAAAAAGGGAACGTGTTCACATGAGCACTTTTGTACTCGATTGCACTTTATAATAATGGAAAAATGATGAATCAGCCGTAACGCTTGTCTAGACGTCAGTACTTGACAACTTTATTGAATGTATGATTTATATGATTACGCGGTATAAAATCAGTTTTTGTTCAGCAACGTTTATTAATTTACAATAATTGTGGACTTAATTTTCAACTATTGTTTCAAATTTTATTTATAGTTGTAATACAAAAGTGAATTGATAAATATAATTTAATAATTGTGCTCTAAAATTAAATTGAAAATATTAAGGAAGGGGCGGAAGGTGCTCTTCAATCTAGGCAAGATATATCATTTATATTCTTCACGCATTTCGGAGCTAAAATAGCTACTGTGTTTTGTATGGTGAGTGTAGAGAACCGGAGACCCTTTTTACTTGAAACGAGGCATTCCATCTTAGTCCTCACGGGTGGCAATGCATCTGCAGTAGATTGGAAATCTCCGGTTGCAGTTAGGCCGATTTATTTTTTTATTTTTCAACATAGTAAAATTATTTATGCCAAAACATACAAACATTGATTATTTTTATAGAAACAGCAACACTTACTTTCTCCTGGCATGGCGTTCAGCGTCAAGCAATTCACTAGTGGAACTGCTCTTGGGGTCGGGGGATCCTTCAGTGCGGGCTCCACTACCACGGCGCCTGAACATGCGCCGGAGACCGCGCAGGAACCGCCCCGTGCGACCCTCGCCTGGAAACAATAGAATCCACCTATAAATTTTTCCACGTGACAGAGCCATGCTACTATATTATGGTTGTAGCAGAAACGGGTCGTCTCGACCGGGAAAGGACCATAAAAGTTAAAAAAAGTTAAAGTTACAGCCTATACACGTCCCACTGCTGGGCACAGGCCACCCCTCATTTCTGAGAGGGTTTTTAGGGCAAAGAAGTGTCCGCCACGCTGCCCCAATGCGTGTTGGCAAACTTCACATGTCTTTCTGCTGTTGACGATGTTTTCCTTCACCGCCGAGCACGTAGTAAATGAGCACTTAAAACTGCAATTAACAATTTCATTGGTGCCGGCGGGGATCGAACCCGGGTTGCTCGCGTACTGTGAAATTTAAATCGAGCGCTTACCATCTGAGCTACCACGGCTCACGGATGGACCATGCTCTCATAGAATACCAGCTTCAAATAGCATCTTAATACTGCTGTGTTTTGTATGGTGAAGGTAGACATCCGGATACCCTTTTTGCTGGAAACGGCGCATTACATCTTAGTTTCAGAGATGACAACGCATTTGCATTTTGATTCTTAATCGAGGATAGGTAGGTGCAGATGTCTATGAGCTACCGCATCCACTTACCATTAGAACAAATCTGTTGTAATATGTGCACACTTTATAATATCAATCTCTTAGAAGCTTCCTCCATAAGTATTAAATTTAAATGATTGTTTAAGTCATATTATGGTCTTTTTAATTTATTTTTAGAGCCAACGCGTATTACTGATTGTAGTGCAACATGTATAGATAACATTTTTACAAATGTTAAGCCGTTGCACAGATGTATAATTCAAAAATTGAGTTCTATTCACTGTAGACAGTTAGCTTCGTTACCTTATGTTCACAATAAGCATGTATTTTTTTTTATAGAATAATGGTGACATACGAGCACACAGTCCACTTGATGGTTAGTGGTTGCTGTGGCCCATAGACATCTACATCTATTTTCGTTTGCGAATCAAAATGCAGATGTGCTGTCAACCATGAGGACTAAGATAGAATGCCTCTTTTCCAGTAAAATGGGTCTCCGATTCTCTACACTCACCATACGAAACACGGCAGCATCAAGCTGCTATTTTACGCAGGTATTCTGTGAGATGTATATGAGAAAATTGTGTTTGTTCCAGCAAATGCAATGAATGGGTCGGCTCGTCCGGGGAAGGACCACGCTCTCACAGACTACCAGCGTAAAATAGCAGCTTAATGCTGCTGTGTTTCGATGGTGAGTGTAGAGAACCGGAGACCCTTTTTACTGGAAAAGAGGCGTTCCATCTTAGTCCTCACGGGTGACAACGCATCTGCATTTTGATTCGCAAACGAGGACAGATGTAGATGTTTATGGACCACAGCAACCACTTACCATCAAGTGGACTGTGCGCTCGTTTGTCACCCTACCCTATTAAAAAAAATGCAAGTCGCTTGGAGAAGTTTAGAAGTAACATAGTGAAGAAACTTCCATCACTTTCATCATGTGGATTTTATGCTCGTTTGTCACACTTACTCTATAAAAAAGATTGACAGCCTCATTAGTCTAGTGGTTATAAAAGAGATATGTCGTCCTGGGTTCGAATCCCGGGTCGCAACAAAATCAATTATTGGATTTTTCTGCCAAGAAGTTCTCAATAGCAGCCTGGAGTCAGGCAGTTGGAGGTGTTTCACCCAACAAGAGAGACAACGGATTGACGTTCGTAATACTAGATTTCTTACAGCTTTAACGCTGTTCTCCATCGCTGGTCTTAATATTTTACTCACACTATATAGTGCCGCGTTGGTTTAGTGGTTGTAGTAGTGCGACTATTGATCATGAGGTCCGGGGTTCGAATCCCGGGTCGGGCCATGAAATCAGTGATTGAGTTTTTCCATAAAGAAATTCTCAGTAGCTGCCCGGAGTCAGGAAGTTGGCGGTGTCTCACCCCCGTGAGCACGTAAAGCCGTTGGTTCTGCGCCTGATCTCTCTCCGGTCGTGTCGCATTACCGTTCTATCGGACCATGAGTGTCAGTGAATAGAGAGTGCACCTGTGCTTGCGCATACACTCGGGCACTATAATCCTGTCCGGCGCAGATGGCTAGTTTCCCTTGAGACTGGCCGCTGTGACCGAAAGTCGGTCTGGAGGACATTATAGACAAGATTTAGTATTGTGGATAGAGTATAGCACATAGCATACCATGGCCGGTGTCAGCGTGCGGCGGTCGGTAGGGCGGCTCGAGCGAGCCCTCGCGCACGCACGACATCAGCCCTGCTCCGCCGCCCGACATCCGCCCGCCCTGCAACACACAGGCACCACCTTAGAAAACGTTTATATAAAACTAGCTTTATTACGAGAGAAATTTATTAAGATTGGATTTTATGGCTTTTAATTTTATTGCACGGAATCCGGAAATGTTTACTTTCTAGTAGTGTACTTTCATATGCATTTAGTAAAAAGCTGTTATTTTGACATTACAAACAGACACTTCAATTTTATTCATTTGTAAACGAGCACACGGAACACCTGAATGGTAAGTGGATGCTGTAGCCCAAAGGCACCTACATCTGCATCTATTGACGGCTTCGTGGCGTAGTAGCTTAACTTAACGTTGCGGCTTAGCAATGAGTTAAGGCGCTGATAGCTGCGGGTTCGAATGCCAAGAAACAAGTATTTGTATAACCTATAAATAATTGTTCTTGGTCTGTATGTTGGTCCTTGCGAAATTTATATATGTAAACTGTCTCCATAATACATGAGAAAATCAAAGTGTATGGATAGCATTTCAAAAAAATCTATCCTAGATTAAAAACAGAGGCGTAGTAGTGTGAACTAATACAGACGTGGGCGAAGTGCCATCAGCGTGGGCCCTTTTCTTTCGTTCCCAAGATCTACCCAATAGATCTATCCTACCAATCATGCTTTGACACGACATTGCTATTAATTTCCTGACAAGTCTCGTATTCCGTCAATCTATCTAACGGTCGTGGTCTTTGAAGGGTAGTTACAACGGCCTCGCAGTCGCACTTAAGAGGGGTTCTTGCGAGGCTCCAAACAAACACGCTTTTAAATTTGTAAAAATCGTAAATGTGATCAAATTAATTAGTCATCTGTAGGAAAGTCTGGGGGCATCGCACTTAAAAGGGCCCCGCGAGGCCCCTTTAAGTGCGAGGCCGTGTGCGAGGGCCCACTATGGCCACGCCTAGCTTAGGAACGCCAGATCGGAAGACCAAAATACCTGGACAAAATTTAAAAATGTCGGCATTTTGAGGTTGTTGTCGCGAGAAATAAATATTACTTATAAATAAAAATGTAAAATAGAAAGATTACTTTTTAAATTAATAGACTACAAAAAGACATTACTTTGTTGACACATAACTAATTTAAGTACACTTAATTTTTATGTTGTCACATGTATTTCGCATTAGACTTTAGTGAGTTCACCAATTTGGATCCTTTGGTATTATATCAGAAAAGATTTAAAATTCAAACAATTTACTTCAAAGTTCAGTCTAATTACTAACTCAGCTGTACATCTGTTTTGGCCAAGAGCCTGGTGCCAAATAGCACGTCTATCCAAAGTTTGTTTTGAGCATGCTTATTTATGAATATGTTTTAAGTGTGCTTATTGCTGGCAAATGTGAACAGTTGCAGAGCATGCTAATTTTAAGCGAGCTAAGTTAAGCGAGCATACTTTTTTTGACCACGTCTGTCCGTACCACGGTTAATGGCTTCTGAAATCGGTGCTAAAACAGAGTTTAATACATAAAACCTCGAGTATAGAAACTACACTACTAGAACGTCCACCAAATATAAATAATTACCCCCTTTATCAACCATAGCGATGGATATTTTGCACTCATCGAACTCAATTTTAAGATCCCGTTAAGTATCGTGCTGTCTCTATCACTTTAAGTCAATGTGACTGTGACAGCAGGAGACTTAATGACATGTTAAAATTGAGTAGCCTTTGAGTATTTAGCCAATTGTCACCATATCAAAAAATCGCGATCCACTCAAATTCAATCACTTCCACCAGCTTTATATTGCACTCATATAATGAAAAAAGTACACCATTAGCAAGAGGAGATTTCAATTAATACTTATTATAATTAACTAACTGGCCAGGCAGACATTGTTCTGCCCTTTACTCGACTCTTCCTGTGAAAAAATCCTTAAATACGCAATAAAAAAAATTGAGGGACACTTATCGGGATAAAAACTATCCTATCTCTCAAGTTGGACCAAACTGCACACATTGTTAAACATTTCATTGAAATAAGTTCAGTAGTTTAGGAGTTCGTCGCGGACAAAATATGTGACACGATATTTTTATATATAAGATTAATATATATTAAAATTTTTATTATAAATACATTGCGTGGTTACCCTTGATAACGAAAATATTCCCTTTAACCATTCTTAGTAAGCTTAAAACGCTTGTGTTAGAAGTGATTCACGGCAGTAGCTGAATGGCGGATTCGAACCCACGATATTTGAGTTAGCGGTCCGAACCCTGCCTACTATCGCTTCTCTACTATTATTCATTACTACTACAATTATTACTAGTCGTATTATTCAGGGATATTCAGGGATAAATCTATTATTTCGAGATTGAAGCTTTTACTCAAGGGATAATCCGTAGTAATCAAGCTTTAATCTCGCACGCGAATGGACATTAACTTGGAAATTTATACCTGACGGCACCTATTATCGGGAAATAATAAACGTGGAGTTAGATCGACTTTTCAACCGACTGGAAAATAGGGAAGAGGTTCTCAATTCAACTATATTTTTTATGTGTTTTATCTCAAAACTTTGTATGATGATTCTTTTTTATTTGAAAGCTGGTGCTTCTCATGTGGTCCCATATAAATTTGATCAAGATCTAACCAGAAGTTATTGAGTTATTCTTAATAATGCGTATTTAATATACTTCAACTACATTGATGATGTTCTCATTTTATTAATATTGAAGTCGGCTGTACAAAATTTTTAATTTTACCACTTGTACATATAATATAACGATAGTATTACTAAGGCACAATAAATATTATTACCTAAAAAAATATTGCTAAATATTTATACTCGCAGTGCGTCTCGAATCGTCGAAGACCGAGTTCTTTCTGATCGGCTTGACTCTGGCGCAGCGAAGACATGTTGCATCGCTTTGCATATTCTATCGCATCTACCACGCAAAGTACTCACAACTTCCTTGTGGATAGCCGATTGGCTACCACCAGCGATTATTTCAGACTGATCCGACTTTTAAAAAGGCCGGCAATGCACCTGCCATTCTTCTGGTGTTGCAGTTGTTCATGGGCAGCATGGCAGTTATCATCAGGTGAGCTGCATGCTCGTTTGCCCCCTCTTATATAAAAAATACTAATAAAGAAACCCATGCATTCAACATGATGAAGATGAATAAGTTATTAAAACTGAGTCATTCGTTCTAACCGATTTTTGATGTAAAATTTCGGTTACACACAGCGAATATTCGATGCGAGTGTGTTATAAAATTCGCTGCCTGCCTATCACACACAGCGAGTACTACACGAGAATTATCTATGGTATATATCTTTCATATTCTTAAATTTTCTTTTCAATTGCTCTTGGGTTTCTATTTCATACATTCATAACTTACACACTTTTCTTGTCACACATTTACCTTAATACTTACTCCAAAACACAAACACATATTCCACTCACACACCTCTTTATAAAAGTTCTGTTTTCGCTAGCTAAACATAACACATTGCATTCACACTGTAGATTGATTGCAATAATTAACTTTGATCTGAGAGTTTGGAATAACCAATGTAGGAATATTATTTTTCACTTTTATTCTTTCGTGGTAATCAACTGTCTAGAACTCCTTTATGCAAATAATTTTAAATTAATACCTATTAGACAAATTTACTACACACAAAAACTTCCTAATTTTCATGGATAATTTGTCCCATCCATATAATGATATAGACAATATTAGTATAGCTCAGGCCGTCACTTGCACGCCTGAAGAGTGTTATTTACACATCTCAACAAAAAGTCACTTAACCATTCTTACCCAAAACATAAGGAGTATATACAAAAATCTTGATATTTTTCAAGCTATGCTCCACTCAACTAAAACCGATTGCGACGTACTAGTTATGACTGAATGTCACCTCTCAAAAATAAAAAGTATTCCTAACCTAAACGATAATTATAACACACACTTTACAAAAAATACCTTAAACCAATGTGATGGCGTAGTTTTTTATGTAAAAAAGAATCTAAATATCAATGTATTTGAACCGTATATTACAAACGCGTCCTGCCTTGTTTTAACTCTTTACGATACTGTCATAATCGGCATTTATCGCACTCCATCTATTAGAAATACTGACGAATTCGTATCATCCCTTCAATCTCTTCTTATACAATATAATTGCTATCCGAATATTATTATAACGGGTGACATAAACATCGACATCAAAATCGACTCCAAAGATCCAAACTGTCATAACTATTTAACATCACTCGCTTATTATGGGATACTCCCAGCTCATAGGCTCCCAACTCGTGATAAAATGAGCTATGATCACATGATGCTGAAAACGTCTCACCCTGCTAAATCACTTGTTCTTACTAACCCTACCACTGATCACAGTACAGTCATTCTTGACGTGATGTTTGAACCTCTGCGACGTAATCTGGCTCTAAAAACCAAAATTTCAATCAATTTTGATGCCACTTTAAATGACATTAAGGCGGACTTACCTGATATATTAACAATAACAGACCCTTCTGAAGCTGCCCAGGTTTTGGTTTGTAAAATCTCCACTGCGATTAAAAACAACCAAACTGTAAAAAGTGTCCCTTCAAGAAAAAGACATATCAAGCCCTGGATAACCATAGGAGTTTTACGTTGCCTTCGCAATCGTGACAAACTTCATTCAAAATTAAAAAAGAATCCGTATAACGAAATCTTGAAAGTAACCTATACACGTTATAGAAATTATTGTAGTAAACTTGTTCGAAAACTTAAAATAATGCACGAAAGAAACAGTTTAACTAGAGCTAATAAAAATCCTAAATTACTGTGGAAAACAATAAAATCTATATGTAACATAAACACTAATAAAAATGACTATATACATAATCTACTCTCACTTAAATCCACACCGTTGGAAGCAGCAAATTGTGCTAATAATTACTTCTCTAACTTAGGTAAACATCTCGCTGAAAACTTATTACCGTCCCCTATGTCCTATAATTCTATTCGTAGCATAAATAACATTAATAGTCCCTCTTCAT